GGAATATCTTAAGTATGTTTCAATCCAAAGCTTTTGCAAATGAAACTTTAATTGATTTAAGATTTTGATTAATTAAGTTCGAAGTCAAATGACGATCTAATGTGTAAAAAGCAGGATGTGCAYGAGATTATTTACTGTTATTTAACCAGGCAAGTCATGTTGAGATCACAGATCTCTTTTTCAAGGAAGGCCTGGGCCTGAAGACAACCTGTTGTACATGTTTTTGGGGGGTGAGGGAAACCGGAGTACCTGGAGAAAACCCACACAAGCATGAGGAGAACATGCAAACTCCAAACAGAAAGACCCGAGGACCGAATCCGGGATCGAACCCATGGCCTTRTTYCTGTGAGGCATCGGTGCTAACCACTGAGCCGTCAATCACACAGTAAAAGTTTTCATGCAATGTTTTGAAAATGAAGTCCAGATAATTATGTAAAAACAGGCAGCAAATCACAATTTCTCCTTCTATTCGTGGAGGTGTGCACATTGATTGTGTTGACAAGCTGACAGAGAGGCTTTTGAGTTGAATGATCGCCTCTTTACGAAAGGTTCTGAAAAGTGATGGGAGACGACAAGAAAAGACAGCTGCAGGATTAGTCACATTTCAAAGACCCATCAGAGAACACGCTGGCTGGTTTGACAAGTCGCAAGCTTGTTTTATTAATATCTTCAGCTTCCAGTCATAGTATATCACCAGTGAGGATGGTTTCATTAGGTTTTCACTGCTTCTCAGAGCTGTAGTTTGGGAACAGGTGGTGCCTCCYTCATTAACACTCATCTATCAGCTGTCTCTCCAGGAACAGCTCCCTCCTCTGGTGGCTGCTCCCTTAAAACTCAGGACTTTTGCCTCATTAAGGTTCAATCTTCTCCCWTTTTTCCCCRTCCTTCAGTCTCTTTTGCAATGATCTGAATTAAGGTGAGTAATAACATCTGTGTGGTTTCTGCAGAGGTTGTTTCTACAGCAACTGGAAGAGACAGCTAATTTTCTTAGACAATAAAGCACAAAAATCCACATATTCATGGGGAAAAGGCAAAATTATTTATCTGAATGTACTTGAATGTTTTTTGTTATGTTGAAAAAACTATTAAATTTGTCATGTTTTATTACATTCACATTCTGTAAGAAAAATAGCTGGAATAAGGTGCTCATATTATAGATTAGGCTTTCCTGTTCTCTTTGTTTACATTGACTGAACAGAGTCTAGAGACTGGAAACCAGCACCTCATCCTCTACACCTTCTCAGCAGTGGGTGAAAGTGTGACATGCAATGTCTGGGCACTAATGAGATCTAAAGGCTCTATCACAGGGACAAAGAGTGAAGGAGGGAGATGGAAGGTGTTACAGAAAAAGGAGAAAAAAATGGCTGGAGGGCCAAGAGACAAAGACGAGATGATGTCAGGACTCCAGCTTTCTGTCTGTTGTGGTCAGTTGTCATTGTTGGCAGCCCTTTACACACCTGTGGTTTCTTAACCCGAGGATTCCTGAGCTGGGCTGAATCACAACTCTTTGTTGTGATGTTACTTCCTCCGCAGATTCATCCTCATGCTCCTGGAATTCCCTTCTGCAATCACCCGTTAAAGATCCTCCTCCAGTTTCATCTGTTGTCATTTCTCGGCAAAGAAATCAGAGAATTCAGCTCAGGTGCTCACCCTAGTCCCATCTAAAGGAAATTTATTCTGTTTACCACTGTTTGTTAATGCATTACACATAATTTTATTTTTATGTACTACTTATTTTGCCTGATCATCTATTTTTATGATTAAAGTGTGATTTAGATGAGGTACAATCTGATTTGAATGACATGTTACAATATACTCAAATAGAATTTGCTCTCTTTGATACTAAGTTAACACACGCCCCAATCACACTGACAACYTTGATATTTTTCTCATCTGCTGGCAGGAAGTATGTGTGAAGATCTGGCCTCTCTACAGGGAGGTTTTCTCCCCACTGGCGTAACGTTTTGAAATGGGAAGTCCTGAAGAAACTATTAAAACACAATCGGATTTCCTGATTCGGCGCCACTTGCAGAGAAAATAAACTTTGTGGTTGGCCCGGTGCTGGATATGTTCTTTATTCTTGCATCTAACATTCAAGTCTATTTAGTATTTATGTCTGGTTGTTAACACACAGTGGAGTAAACTGAACACGATTTTCTTTTCACCTCCATAAAACTGTAAATCACCTGTTGAAATGTGGAAACTCACAAACTGATGCTCTCCCCTGACTCTGGAAGCCCGCCTTCCCGTGAGGTGTGAGAATCCGTTTAAATGACTAGTCAATCGCAAAGTGTCAACATCATGACTGAAACACATATCCCTTTCAATTTTGAATTGTCAGGTCAAAATATGCATCAAAGTGTAGGCATAACTAAAAATTTCACCTTTAGCTGTCTTAGATGTGAGGTAATAAACAAAACTGTTTTATGCCATGTTTGTTGAAACGGTAAAGTAGTAGGGACTCTGGTGATATATTTAATTGATTCTACTACACAATAAACTATTTAATAAAGGAATGATGTYTATGTTTTTCTTATTCAAAGTGTCAGAAAGGGGTACGTCTGGCAGCTACCTTCAAATGTGGCCAGTGTGTTATCTTACGAGTACTTTATGTCTGTTCGTAGTTTTCCTGTTCCTTTCAGAGAATTTAACAAGATAACCCAGACT